TATGGGCTCAAGTGGCAGTCAGTGAATGTGTAGCTAAGTTCAGGATATTATGGGCTCAAGTTGCAGTCAGTGAATGTGTAGTTAGGTTCAGGATATTATGGGCTCAAGTTGCAGTCAGTGAATGTGTAGTTAGGTTCAGGATATTATGGGCTCAAGTTGCAGTCAGTGAATGTGTAGTTAGGTTCAGGATATTATGGGCTCAAGTTGCAGTCAATGAATGTGTAGTTAGGTTCAGGATATTATGGGCTCAAGTTGCAGTCAGTGAATGTGTAGTTAGGTTCAGGATATTATGACACCTGAATCTAAACCTCTAATAATTCAATTTTTTACCAAGTTGTTTTTGCATAGCATCTACTCAACCGCTTTGATGTATAATTGGAGAGACAGACAATCTAGAAAGCTATTTGGATGCTAGTACGCAGCTACACACCACTTATAACTTTATAGGTTTTCGAGCATTTTTTTTTGTACGGACTGTCTTTGCGTGCATTTGGATTTGATATTAAGATTTTAAATTTTTCACTTCATTGTTTTTCGCCCTCTTACACATGATGATGGTAAGTTCATATGATATATGTTTATTATCATTATATATATATATAAAAGAGGGAGAAGCACGTTTTCATTCGGGTAATATCAATTAATCATGTGAATTATTTGGAAGTTAACTTAAATGAATAGTAAATAAAAGGTTTCGTCGTTAACACCTGTAGGCCCACTTTAACGGCATCAGTTTCTTCTTAGCAGCTAATTTTATTAGAAATCATTATTACCTCTTCCATTTTTGTTTTGTTTTCATTGTTTTATGTAATATACAATGTCTAATAGCTTGATATTGATATTGTTTTAAACTTCCTAAAAATAGTCCCCTTCTTTAACAACCTTTGGTGTTGTTGCGAATGTCATTTTGATGTCCAGTGGATTAACACTAGAATGACGTCTCATATGTAAGTTTCCGGTACTGGGACCACGTGACAGACATCCTTCTGGACTAGAGGGCGCCACTAAGATACTAGGTGGTTGGATAGTGTCATCAGAGTGACGACGTCCAGGTAATCCTGCCTGAACACGTAATAAATTCGAGTCTGGTGATAAAGATGCTGAAAAAAAAACAACATAAATCAAACGTTATTCTCTACTTTATAAAAAAAATTATTAAACGTTTTTATTGAATACAAAATTCTATTACGTTTTCAGCCCTTAAAATCATGCTTTTAAAGTTGTCTCTTCGTGATTGAAAGCAGAGGTAGTTATTTCCATGTTTTGCCTTGTTATCATCATGTAATGTTGCCTGCTTATTTACCAGTAACCACACATAGAATTGCTGACACGCATAAAGAAGTATCTATGTCAATACGCTTTTCTCTAACCATGAGCAGGATAAAGTTGGAGCAGCCTCATCACCAGCTGGGGCAGTGTGCATCTTGGAGAGAGATAGAACATCTTTGGCACAGTTATGAGTCATTATGGTAAGAAAAAGCAAACTGCCAAACTTGCTAGATGTCATATGCAGGCTCCAGATCAAGTAGAGTAGTCAGGAGATGCATGCGCGACTGTAACATTCTGTATATCCAGCCAGAAGTATGAGATATGTGTTCGTACAAAAGGTGGAATCTTGAGACACTCAGAAAACCCAGTGCCTTTTATAACATTGGTAACGCCGAGAAATTAATCGTAGGTTTCTACATTTGTTGCCATAGTCTAATGGCGGAAATGCAAGCTAGATTAGTTTGCCTAACAAGTATAAAGACGGAGGACTTGGATTACACTTTGAAGCACTTTATCAAGTAATTTTAATTCAATGGTGGTACTTACTTCATTTCATTCCGACTTCAACCTTCTTATTAGTAAGCTGTCTTTAACACGAAGTTATTTCACATCATTTACTGTAGCAATACTCTTAAAATCTATTTATTTTATGTTAATTCATAAACATTACATCGAGGACTTTCGTACAAATACACAGTTAATCTATAAACATTACATCTAGGACTTTCGTACATATACATAGTTAATCCATAAATATTACATCGAGGACTTTCGTACAAATACACAGTTAATCTATAAACATTACATCTAGGACTTTCGTACAAATACACAGTTAATCCATAAACATTACATCTAGGACTTTCGTACAAATACACAGTTAATCCATAAACATTACATCTAGGACTTTCGTACAAATACACAGTTAATCCATAAACATTACATCTAGGACTTTCGTACAAATACACAGTTAATCCATAAACGTTACATCTAGGACTTTCGTACAAATAAACAGTTAATCCATAAACATTACATCTAGGACTTTCGAACAAATACACAGTTAATCCTTAAACATTACATCTAGGACTTTAGTACAAATACACAGTTAATCCATAAACATTACATCTAGGACTTTCGTACAAATACACAATTAATCCATAAACATTACATCTAGGACTTTCGTACAAATACACAGTTAATCCATAAACATTACATCTAGGACTTTAGTACAAATACACAGTTAATCCAATAAACATTACATCTAGGACTTTCGTACAAATACATAGTTAATCCATAACATTACATCTAGGA